AATCAAATGCTAATTTCTCGGATACAGAACACCATTCAACCAACAAAGCTATATGAATTTAAGAATGATAATTTCTCGGATACAGAACACCGTTCAACCAACAAAGCTATATGAATTTAAGAATCAAATGCTAATTTCTCGGATACAGAACACCGTTCAACAAACAAAGCTATATGAATTAAAGAATCAAATGCAAAGTTCTCGTATACAGAACACCATTCAAACAACGCAAAGCTATATGAATTTAAGAATCAAATGCTAAGTTCTCGGATACATAACACCATTCAACCGACGAAGCTATATGAATTTAAGAATCAAATGCTAAGTTCTCGGATACAGAACACCGTTCAACCAACAAAGCTATATGAATTAAAGAATCAAATGCTAATTTCTCGGATACAGAACACCGTTCAACCAACAAAGCTATATGAATTTAAGAATCAAATGTTAATTTCTCGGATACACAACACCGTTCAACCAACAAAGCTATATGAATTTAAGAATCAAATGCAAAGTGCTCGTATATACAGACCACCATTCAACCAATCTATCAATATTATTGTGAATGGCGTAAATACTATTTAATTTTGGTCATTATCATTATCACTTTAAAAAGATTCCCGATAAAGGATGTCAAATATGTGGGGAATATATTAGTGGACATAACTTTAATCCAGAAATATGACAATTGTGTAATTGTTTTCTTCAAACAGCTCCTTCACATTATCGATACATAATGACAGATAATGCAAATAATAAATGTGTATGTATGATTAATTTGATTCTTCTTGAAAGAGAAGGGATGTGCATGGATTGTGATTAATATTCCAATATAAGATTTTCTTTGATTTCAAAATTCATTTGACGAAGAAGCACATCATTAAACGTGAAACTATATTTTTGTCTGAGAATATTTTTGATATAATATTATTATCATGCACTTGGTGGTATAGAGGGGGAAATAAAACATATTACCAGTTAAGAGTGGGACAATCATTAGCTTACAAGCTATACATGTATTTCTAATAATTACAAGCATGACAAGTATAAATTCAAGACTACTTCTTTCACGAAGAAATTAACCTTTACTAGAAATATATATATATATATATATATGTAACATCATAAACTTTGCAAAAACATAAACACACGCTTTTAATTTACTTACATGCAGTTTGAAGAGACTAGTGACTTTAACCATCGCAATGCAGCACTAAGAAAGAACCATCAGCCTTTAATGTGTTTTTTAATGTAAATAGTAATGAAATCTACCCTCTATTTACAATAAATCAGTAAGTCGTCTGCATTTATTACACAAACCTGCACCCTTTAAAAACATATATTCAATAATAAGTGTGATTCAAACAATAGAAGTGACGTTATTTATATTTGTAGTAATCATCATTTTCTACAACAAACATAATTATTTACTTCAAATTAACATTCATTAGGTCAGTGAAATAACCTAGATAGAATTGTAGGTTTACATGAGTCTTAACAAACGACACATTGGTGGTAATTAAACTTCTTTAAAACAATTATATTTCGTAAATTAATCTCAATATTCCAACAATAGAAAGAGAATTTGACAAAACAAGAAAAACAATATTACCAGAGAGACAGAATAAATGAAGAGGAGACGATGATCTAAGGGAGATCCTTTGACCCCTGCATATTTGTTTACTATTCGCTTTTCAAAATAATTAATTGGCATACAATAGAGCAATAATTGATCGAACAAAATGTTACATACTACAGACATGAATAATCTACTTTAAATAAATTTCGAAAATATATTCTTTGTACTTCATAAGTTTAGAACATTCACTTGATCACCAAAAACAAAGCACCTCTAAAGATGTGTAATAATGTGCCGGGTCGGGATTCAAACCCTCAACCCTTGGACATCGAATCAAGAAACAGTTTCATCTAGAGATTTCAGGACCTGCAACCAACAAAGCTATGAAAATTAAGAATCAAATGCAACGTTCTCGTATACAGAGTACCATTCAACCAACAAAGCTATATGAATTTAAGAACCAAATGCTAATTTCTCGGATACTGAACACCATTCAACCAACAAAGCTATATGAATTTAAGAATCAAATGCTAATTTCTCGAATACAGAACACCGGCAACCAACAAAGCTATATGAATTTAAGAATCAAATGTTAATTTCTCGGATACAGAACACCGTTCAACCAACAAAGCTATATGAATTTAAGAATAAAATGCTAAGTTCTCGGATACTGAACACCATTCAACCAACAAAGCTATATGAATTTAAGAATCAAATGCTAATTTCTCGGATACAGAACACCGTTCAACCAACAAAGCTATATGAATTAAAGAATCAAATGCTTATTTCTCGGATACAGAACACCGGCAACCAACAAAGCTATATGAATTTAAGAATCAAATGCTAATTTCTCGGATACAGAACACCGTTCAACCAACAAAGCTATATGAATTTAAGAATCAAATGCTAATTTCTCGTATACAGAGCACCATTCAAACAACGCAAAGCTATATGAATTTAAGATTAAAATGCAAAGTTCTCGTATACAGAGCACCATTCAAACAACGCACAGCTATATGAATTTAAGAATCAAATGCAAAGTTCTCGTATACAGAGCACCATTCAAACAACGCACAGATATATGAATTTAAGATTAAAATGCAAAGTTCTCGTATACAGAGCACCATTCAAACAACGCACAGCTATATGAATTTAAGAATCAAATGCTAATTTCTCGTATACAGAGCACCATTCAAACAACGCACAGCTATATGAATTTAAGAATCAAATGCAAAGTTCTCGTATATACAGACCATCATTCAACCAACGCAATGCTATATATATGAATTTAAGATTCACATGCAAAGTTCTCGTATATACAGACCATCATTCAACCAACGCAATGCTATATATATGAATTTAAGATTCAAATGCAAAGTTCTCGTATATACAGACTACCATTCAAACAACGCAAAGCTATATGAATTTAAGAATCAAATACAACGTTCTCGTATACAGAGCATCACTCAAACAACGCAAAGCTATATGAATTTAAGAATCAAATACAACGTTCTCGTATACAGAGCATCATTTAAACAACGCAAAGCTATATGAATTTAAGATTCAAATTCAAAGTTCTCGTATACAGACCACCATTCAAACAACGCAAAGCTATATGAATTTAAGATTCAAATGCAAAGTTCTCGTATACAGACCACCATTCAAACAACGCAAAGCTATATGAATTTAAGATTCAAATGCAAAGTTCTCGTATACAGAGCACCATTCAAACAACGCAAAGCTATATGAATTTAAGAATCGAATGCAATGTTCTCGTATACAGAGCATCATTCAAACAACGCAAAGCTATATGAATTTAAGAATCAAATACAACGTTCTCGTATACAGAGCATCACTCAAACAACGCAAAGCTATATGAATTTAAGAATCAAATACAACGTTCTCGTATACAGAGCATCATTTAAACAACGCAAAGCTATATGAATTTAAGATTGAAATGCAAAGTTCTCGTATACAGACCACCATTCAAACAACGCAAAGCTATATTAATTTAAGAATCAAATGCAATGTTCTCGTATACAGAGCACCATTCAACCAAGAAAGCTATATGAATTTAAGAATCGAATGCAACGTGCTTGTATATACAGTCCACCATTCAACCAACGCAAAGCTATATGAATTTAAGAATCAAATGCAACGTTCTCGTATACAGAGTACCATTCGACCAACAAAGCTATATGAATTTAAGAATCAAATGCTAATTTCTCGGATACAGAACACCAGCAACCAACAAAGCTATATAAATTTAATGCTTATTTCTCGGGTACAGAACACCGTGAAACCAACAAAGCTATATGAATTTAATGCTTTAATTTCTCGGATACAGAACACCGTTAAACCAACAAAGCTATATGAATTTAAGAATCAAATGCTTATTTCTCGGATACAGAACACCGGCAACCAACAAAGCTATATGAATTTAAGAATCAAATGCTAATTTCTCGGATACAGAACACCGTTCAACCAACAAAGCTATATGAATTTAAGAATCAAATGCTAATTTCTCGTATACAGAGCACCATTCAAACAACGCAAAGCTATATGAATTTAAGATTAAAATGCAAAGTTCTCGTATACAGAGCACCATTCAAACAACGCACAGCTATATGAATTTAAGAATCAAATGCAAAGTTCTCGTATATACAGGCCACCATTCAAACAACGCAAAGCTATATGAATTTAAGATTCAAATGCAAAGTTCTCGTATACAGACCACCATTCAAACAACGCAAAGCTATATGAATTTAAGATTCAAATGCAAAGTTCTCGTATACAGAGCACCATTCAAACAACGCAAAGCTATATGAATTTAAGAATCGAATGCAATGTTCTCGTATACAGAGCATCATTCAAACAACGCAAAGCTATATGAATTTAAGAATCAAATACAACGTTCTCGTATACAGAGCATCACTCAAACAACGCAAAGCTATATGAATTTAAGAATCAAATACAACGTTCTCGTATACAGAGCATCATTTAAACAACGCAAAGCTATATGAATTTAAGATTGAAATGCAAAGTTCTCGTATACAGACCACCATTCAAACAACGCAAAGCTATATTAATTTAAGAATCAAATGCAATGTTCTCGTATACAGAGCACCATTCAACCAAGAAAGCTATATGAATTTAAGAATCGAATGCAACGTGCTTGTATATACAGTCCACCATTCAACCAACGCAAAGCTATATGAATTTAAGAATCAAATGCAACGTTCTCGTATACAGAGTACCATTCGACCAACAAAGCTATATGAATTTAAGAATCAAATGCTAATTTCTCGGATACAGAACACCAGCAACCAACAAAGCTATATAAATTTAATGCTTATTTCTCGGGTACAGAACACCGTGAAACCAACAAAGCTATATGAATTTAATGCTTTAATTTCTCGGATACAGAACACCGTTAAACCAACAAAGCTATATGAATTTAAGAATCAAATGCTTATTTCTCGGATACAGAACACCGGCAACCAACAAAGCTATATGAATTTAAGAATCAAATGCTAATTTCTCGGATACAGAACACCGTTCAACCAACAAAGCTATATGAATTTAAGAATCAAATGCTAATTTCTCGTATACAGAGCACCATTCAAACAACGCAAAGCTATATGAATTTAAGATTAAAATGCAAAGTTCTCGTATACAGAGCACCATTCAAACAACGCACAGCTATATGAATTTAAGAATCAAATGCAAAGTTCTCGTATATACAGGCCATCATTCAACCAACGCAATGCTATATATATATGAATTTAAGATTCAAATGCAAAGTTCTCGTATATACAGACCATCATTCAACCAACGCAATGCTATATATATGAATTTAAGATTCAAATGCAAAGTTCTCGTATATACAGACTACCATTCAAACAACGCAAAGCTATATGAATTTAAGAATCAAATACAACGTTCTCGTATATAGAGCATCACTCAAACAACGCAAAGCTATATGAATTTAAGATTCAAATGCAAAGTTCTCGTATACAGACCACCATTCAAACAACGCAAAGCTATATGAATTTAAGAATCAAATGCAATGTTCTCGTATACAGAGCATCATTCAAACAACGCAAAGCTATATGAATTTAAGAATCAAATGCAATGTTCTCGTATACAGAGCATCATTCAAACAACGCAAAGCTATATGAATTTAAGAATCAAATACAACGTTATCGTATACAGAGCATCATTCAAACAATGCAAAGCTATATGAATTTAAGATTCAAATGAAAAGTTCTCGTATACAGAGCATCACTCAAATAACTCAAAGCTATATGAATGTAAGAATCAAATGCAACGTTCTCGTATACAGAGCATCATTCAAACAACGCAAAGCTATATGAATTTAAGATTCAAATGCAAAGTTTCGGATACAGAACACCATTAAACCAACGCAAAGCTATATGAATTTAAGATTCAAATGCAAAGTTTCGGATACAGAACACCATTAAACCAACGCAAAGCTATATGAATTTAAGATTCAAATGCAAAGTTTCGGATACAGAACACCATTAAACCAACGCAAAGCTATATGAATTTAAGATTCAAATGCAAAGTTCTCGTATACAGAGTGCGATTGTTGAAGCTTTGGCTTCGGTCTGTCCTGGCTCCTCTCAGTCTCTACATTGCCATACACGAGTGCGGCGGCGCCTGCTTCCTGCGGATCTGTGACCTCATACGGGTTCTCTTCCGGGTCAAGTGTGTAGTCGATTTCTACGTTGCCGTACGTGTGGTCCTCTATCGGATATGGAAGCTGATCATAGTTTTCAGTGTGCAGGTATTCACGGATGACATCGTAGACGAAAGCATATTCCTCCTATATAAAATTGTATGGGGAGGTTCTATTTGTTAACTACTTGATATTCGTTGGCAAACAGGGATGAAGAAATGAAGATTACAATTAAAAAAAAATAGAATAAAGATGATACTGTAAAATGAAAGAAATACACGAATATATTTTCGAACTAAAATACATTCTTTAGAGGTTGTATTCCTCACATGTAAAATAGAAGAAAAAAACAGTCATAGATTTGACTCCGATCAATGTATTTCAAATATCTATTTCGATTTAACTTCTACCACTGCATACCATAGTACAACAAGGAAATACTATTTAAATGTTGTAATTACAGATGATATTTCATCATAGTTCATGTTTCTTATTTATTATTGCAGGTAGTAATTTGACCTGTGTGATAAAATTACAAATAATTTTGCATACCTCAGTTTGGACGAACTGCATCCTGTCAGCTCGCAGTATCTTGACTGTCTGGAAAATATCGACGGAATCTCCCTGAGCTATCTGAGCGATGCACTCCATAGCAGTGCAAAATACACCTGTTCGCCCAGCACCACTCCTTTAATTCCACACAAAATGTAAACATGTTTAAAGTACAATTATCAAGGTTCAATAAACATAAGACTGTTGGGCGAAATTATTATTCAGATTTGAATCAAATAAATTTCATTTATAGTAATACATTTCTCGCAACTGAATAACCCTTTATTTTAAAGCATATCAATTTATGCATGTTTTTTTTTTCAGAACCCCTGATTACTTACTATTTAATTAACTTGCTTTACATAATCGCATCTCTAAAGATACATTTGCACTTTGCATACATTAACTGCTGCTAGCACGCCCTGTCAAGCTTTTTGTTGCCAATAAAAATCTTTCTTCAAGAGGCATGAATCAAATGTATAAACAGGACATTGGCCTATCATTGTAGTTGAGTTTTTAAGATGTTAAATCATTGCCTTGGTTGCAAAACAATACAGCTATTTTTGTTGTGGTATTTATGGACCAATCCTCTTTCCATAGACTTTGCACCGATTGCAAATGTGTAGGATTAATAAGCATTGTAAAGATACTGAACTTACAAACAATGGACAAGAATGGAGAATTCCTTCGTGTTGTTAGTGGAACTTTTGACAGCACGGATGAGCTTGAGCAACGACCTAGCCCCTAATTGTTGATCTGATCCATGTTTAGGCCATCCATGGAACTGGTACTGAGTGACGGTGTGACTGGTCTAAAAGAAAACGAAACAAAACGATCCGTGGAAATGGATGTATAAGGCATATTTGAATTGGTCACAGTTTTGCATCTTATCTTTGCGTCCTACCAAAAATTAGTGCTTTTCAACTGCCATCATATTTGACAAAAGCTAGATATTCATCAACTCCCAGTTCGCCCTGTTGAGAAAACTGTTCTGGTTGAAATTCATAATGCGGTTCGATAAAAATATTAGATTTCTTGATCCGTAAAAACAATCATTTCAAATGAGGGCATCACATCTAAATTCACAGTCTCTTCTTTAACAATCACTGTGTCGTAAAGGAAAGATATGAAATAAGACATACTTTGGAGTTTCTGGTAACTTTCAGTTGCCGAGTGGTCATGTCCCCATCAGATGATGTTGATAAGGTTGAAACTGAATAGGATCCAAACTGAACCGAGTCAGCATCAGGCCAGTACTGTGCACAGGTCTGGAATGGGGAGAGACAAGGCTATCGTTAGATATTCATACATACATACTTACATGTCAGTCCTTCCTTTTCTGTCCGCTCCTTTCCTGACCTATTATATGTATATCTCTCGCTCTTACCGTTTTCTTTCATAATGCCACGGGTTTCTTGAATCCCAATTACTAGTCACTTTAGCCATGTTAGTTTTTAAATGAGCCTTCTGTACCCTGTGTAGATTAGCCTTATGCTAACCAAGTTCTCCAATAAAGTCTACTCCTATACTACTACCATTACTACTAATACTACTATTGCTACGTATCAGGACAATTACCCCCTGGGCAATCACCCCCCGGAAAATTACCACCCGGAAAACTACCCCCCACGGACAATTACCCCCCAGAAAATTACCCCCCGGAGAATTACCCCCCGAGGACAATTACCCCCCAAGGACAATTACCCCCCAGAAAATTACCCCCGGAGAATTACCCCCCGGAGAATTACCCCCCGAGGACAATTACCCCCCAAGGACAATTACCCACCGGAAAATTACCCCCGAGGACAACTACCCCCCGAGGACAATTTCCCCCGAGGACAACTACCCCCCGAGGACAATTACCCCCCGAGGACAACTACCCCCGAGGACAATTACCCCCCGAGGACAACTACCCCCGAGGACAACTACCCCCGAGGACAATTACCCCCCGAGGACAACTACCCCCCGAGGACAATTTCCCCCAAGTACAACTACCCCCCTCTTCCGAGGACAACTATCCCCGATGACAATCACCCCCGAGGAATTTGTAACACTGTGACAAATAATGCGAGCTTCTCTCCAAATTGCTCTTTATAGAAAATTTCATAAACTTTCAATTTCTATGTTATTTGTGAAGTTCATTTCAGTGTTTTCAAGTTATTCACTTCGATGTGGGGGGGGGGGGTGGGAGTTGCCCAATTCCCCCGAAGTTTTGCTACCGAGTAAATAACAGAAATTACATTTTTTAAAGAAATTCAATAATACATTGCGCGCAGATGAGTACGCCTTACAGCCTCTCTCACCAACAAAATGGCAAAACAAAGAAATTAGGATGTAATATTTCATTTATGCATCCTCTGTCACTTTTTAAGCTGATCGTGTATTTGTCTTTGTATAATGGGCCCTCGACCATGATCCGAAATTAAGGTTTTCTTCACGTTATCTATATATTTCTGTTATCTATATATTTATGTTGTCATGCGGGAGTATGATATGCGCAGGTCGAGGGTTCGAATCACGACACTGGCACTAATATCCTTTTTCAAGATATTAACCTGCACTTGCTACTCTCCACCCAGGTGTTAAATGGGTACCCAGTAGTATGCGACCGTCATTGCTGGTCACAACGGTGTCGATTTTTATCCGTGGTTGGGGGGGGGGGGGGGGGGGGAGGTGATAGGTGCCAAAATAATTTCGGCAATGGATCAAAGCAACCAAGAGGTAGAAGTGTGTGGCAGGTTGCACCCCCTCCCTTACAAGTTATTAATTTGTTCAAGTCACCCTCAATAAAGATAACATTTCAGAGAATATGGGACCCATGTGGGCTTGCAACTTGGGTTATTATCCTCTCAAGCGCGTAGCAAGGATTTTATTTTAGGGGGGCGGTAGTGAGCACGCGAAGCGCGCTCCCTAAAGGGGGTGGCTGCAGGGAGGGGGGTTTTCCCCGTCCCACGCGAAGCGCGGAAGCTTTGATGTTTCATTTAATTATTAGAGAAAGAAGACGATTCGTTGTACCGTTCTCAACTCTTAATCCTTGTCTAAATTCAATTTCTTTTGACCTTTAATTAAATTATTAGAGAAAGAAGACGATTCGTTGTACCGTTCTCGACTCTTAATCCTTGTCTGATTTCAGTTCCCCCCTCCCTCGCGAAGCGCGAAAGCTTTGACGTTTCATTAAGTTACTAAAGAAAGAAGACGATTCGTTGTACCATTCTCGACTCTTAATCCTTGTCTGAATTCAGTTCCCCACCCCCCCCCCCCCTCCCGCGCGAAACTTCGACGTTTCATTACATTATAAGAGAAAGATGACGATTCGTTGTACCGTTCTTGACTCTTAATCTTTTTTCTTCCTACGTCCTCTTCCCTTTTTCTTTCTCTCTCTCTCTTTTTTTTGGCCGGCTTTTTTTACGCGCGCCTATATACGCGCCTGTATCCTTTCTGTCTCTCCCACTCTCTACTTCTTTTTTGCACTTTTGCGCTTCGCGCTTGATATTTAGCTCGTTGCTTTTTAACGCTGCGGCTTTGCATTTGGCGCACTGCATTTCTATGATGCTGTTGATTGAATAAATTGATCAATTCCTGATGAAGCCGTATGAGCGAGAATTCAATTTATTCTTGTCTCATATACAGATGTCTCATTTACGTATGTATTATGAAAATGAGATAGCAAAATGTGTATATTGATGGTCATCTTGCGAGTAATAACCATTAACTACTCTCATTGGGGTCTCATCATTATTGTTTCTCTTCATTTTTTTTTTATTGTTTGAATTGTTTGGGGGGGGGGGGATGATTGGACAGGCCACCCCCCCCCCCCACCTGAAATATTTTTTTTTTGGGGGGGTGATATATCCCCCCACCCCCTCCCCCCCCCCCCCGGGATCGACACCCATGAACATAGCACTTGGCGAGTGCCTGAGTCATGCAAAATAGATAGTCTGTGAAGAATTTGGGATTTGGGAGAAACTTTTCATTTTTTTAGAGGGTACCATGACTCAAAAAGTTGAAATAATGCTGCTCAAGAGAAATGTATTTCTATGCATTTTGAGAAGCGCTTGACAATTACCTAAAACTTACATCCTTCGTGGAAATCAGCAGCCGCACTGCCGTGGTATAACTTATATGTATTAAAGGGAAATGTTTAGTAACGAGGAAGACAACGTGCTAGTATTTGAGCGAATATGGGTTCATGAAGGGGGTCTTATAGGCTCGTAGCCATCCCTCAATGTATCAGATCGTCTTTTGCTATTGAATCCTGATTGTCCACGGGGGGTAGTTGTCCTCGGGGGGTAACTGTCCTCGAGGGTAGTTGTCCTCGGGGGGTTATTGTCCTCGGGGGGTAATTGTCCTCGGGGGTAGTTGTCCTCGGGGGTAATTGTCCTCGGGGGGTAGTTGTCCTCGGGGGGGAATTGTCCTCGGGGGGTATTTGTCCTCGGGGGGTATTTGTCCGGGGGGTAATTTTCCGGGGGGTAATTGTCCTCGGGGGGTAGTTGTCCTCGGGGGGTAATTCTCCGGGGGGTAATTTTCCGGGGGTTATTGTCCTTGGGGGGTTATTCTCCGGGGGGTAATTTTCCGGGGGGTAATTGTCCTTCGGGGGTAGTTTTCCGGGGGGTAAATTTCCGGGGGTGATTGCCCAAGGGGTAATTGTCCTAGAACCCTATTGCTTCTACTACCATTAATAATAATAATACTATTGCTACTATACTACCACTATTAATCCAGGGAGGAGCTCGAATTCGGTTGTTCATACAAGTGACCGGTACCCCCTCCCTTCTGCGCCACCGATGGGAATTCAACATTTAACTTTTTTTGTTATCAACACAAAAGAGTATTTAAATCTCCCAAGTTTAAACTAAGACATTTTATTGATCGACGTAATTTCAAAATTGACAAATACTCGCACTACTACCTTGTCGTTTTGGCTCTTGTCGTTAAGCATGACGACAGTGGATGGTTTATTGTTGAGGACCATAGACCAGAAATCAGACACAGTGGTTGGCAGTGGCATCTGGGTTGTCATGAATGTACAGTGGATCCCCTGAAAGATGAGGGAAGAATAAATACAACATGAGACCCTTGCCACCTACTTCCATTGCCATGAAATACACTCAGAGCTGTCAGTGTCAGTATCTTCGAAGGACTGGAACCCTGGGCGGAGGGGCTCAGTTACTGCACTGCAGCCCAACCCTACATCCCCTATGACTATCAATCAAGTTTGAATTCCAACATAGTTTAAATAGATATAATAATTCTTCTATAATAAGTTCTCCTATAGTACATTGTACATTATAATGGCGACAGTATATGTACATTTAAGGGGTATAAATCCCGCCCCTCCCCCACTCAGTGTTATTTAGGGTACGCGTATGCTTGTCCCCTCTTTTTGAAAGCACCCCCTATCTGAGGACTGCCAACATTACCGAACCCCCCTTTAGCGGGCTTTTTGCGGGCTTTTCCTGCCTTTAACACCCCCCTAAATCTGGAAAATGCTCAATGTACCTCCCTTAATTCGGAGTTATTTCTCAGAAGTTCAAAGAGACGAGAGAAAGAAAAAAAATCCCCTTTTTAAAGAAATTTCCGGGTGAAAAGTGAAATACACCCCCTTTTATACAATTCTCGGGCCGGACTTTGTCGCACGAAAAGTACCCCTTTACCGGACATTTTGATAACACGCATGGTATCCCTCCGTTCTCGGAGTGGGGGGGGGGGGGGGGGGGGTATAAATTGATCCACAATTCAATGACAATGAGTGTCACTATTATTGCATATAGAAACTGGAAAATATAGATAATATTTTAACACTCATCAATCTAACCGTGCATTCAAAAGTTCCCCTTCCCTATTAAACGAAGTCCCAAAAATACGATGGGAAACACAAATAAATACTCGTTTGTGCTAAGTATTAATAATATCAATAATACCGATATTAGCCCATTATGTATCTATGGTAGTTGCATACGTCCAAGGTGTCTACAGTTTCTTATGTTGAACGCGAGTCAAGATGTAAACGGTATCGATGGCATTTAATCCCTTAGTGTTTCTGACACTAAATTGCATGTGTAAATTGAATCACTTGATTCACAAAGAACATCTCACCTTCATTTGACTAGCATTGATGTAATCATGATCTGGGGAGTCTAGCATCACACGATTCCTCTGCACTAGAATGGTATGGAAACAAAAGAACATTTCAAACAGCGTTACGCTATTACCCTACAACTCAACATTTACACTAAAACAAGTACGAGTATTAAAGTCTTTCACATTGTTTGATAGCGATTTTGGATTTTAGGTATGTATGTATTCAATTTTTGCTCTTTGAGTCTCGTTATACATGACATGCATAGGGATGGATCAAAGTAGAGGTGGGATCACCAGCCCCCTCCCCCCTCCTCCTCACCCTCTTCATCCCTGCCTTAAGAGAAAATCTTATGTGATATCACCTCTCCACCTTCGAATTGAATTTAACGGACTCAAAGTTTGGGTATCCCCCAACCCCTACACCATTCCAACCTTAACTGCACCGTCTCCTGACAATCTTGAGATCCCCGTACGGTGTTATATCATTTGCTCACGACAACGTCATACATTTCACCACGGCGTTCTAATTCTCATTTGGCAAGAATCTACGATTTACATATTATGTCCACTGACGAAAATGATGGGGTTTAAATTGTGTGTATGTGTTTGTTTGTGTGTGTGTGTGTATTTGTTGGTATCCTAACATTACTTACATGGTAGGTTGTTTCCGTATCTATTCTTGGGGTGATTATCTCGAGTGCGCCCTGATCTTGTTTGAGAAGCCGGAGGATCTGGACAGAGGCTCTTCAAAGTCTGATTTAATCAGAGAATATGATGTTTACGTCACGAATTAGTTTGATCGTCATATACTTTAGTTCTGGTATATTTTTCGCGCATGCAGAAATATAGATTCAATTTTAATATTAGCAACGTTCATTCTGCGCAAAGGGATTTTGAAGATATTAACAAAATCGTATTACTATCTTGGCTATAGCCTAGCTGCCTCAAGGTTCTGAAAGCATTCAAGGAATTACAGTTACTTCTAAGTAGGCAGTCATTCACCCAACATAAGTTTAGATAGTGCTGCGAGTGAGATTCGAAAAAACACCATTCATTTGAATTACATTTCCATTCTAAGAGCGCAAGAGCAGGTTTGTAAATGGGATATTTTCTCTTTCTCCATGAGTTTTTTCCCCTGGGGCGAGGCCGTTCCTGAAAAATAGTTTCGTTGAAATATCCATATCTCTCTCTCTCTATTTTAGGTTTTTTGAACCCTTCGTCCAGAGGAAAGTGAACAATGAACTTACTTGGAACCATTACGTGGCTTATGATCAAGGTCAGAAGTTGTTCATTTTTACAGCTAAAGGAAGAAGAAGGCTATATATAGAGAGGGAGATGGAGACAGAACTAAAGAGGGTTATGGTATGTGGACCTGCCATTGCAAAACACCTGGGAGAGAACTAAAGTCGTTACTGTCAGTAGACATTCATTGTTGACCGAACTTTTGGTAATGATTGGGATGTGTTACCTGGAACTCCTTGGTCATCTTGGACCGTCCACGTCCATCGCCTGAAGAGTGTAAGTCTTGTAGATGATCAGTGAAATGAACGATAGGGATCAGGGTATTCCTCCAGAGAAGATCCTCAAGGACAGCCCCGTAGATGAAGGCATACTGCTCCTGTATTCATGTAAGGAACGAAAGCTTCAAACATTTTGTATAAATTCCATCTGATCCACTAGCATTTCTCATATTTTTACGAAATACGACGGAACAAGTACATCATAATTAAAGATTAGAACAAGCGGTGCCCTATGTCCGTGTTATAAGATTCTTGATATTCAAAACGTTTCCTTTGATAATATCTTGTTTTATATCAACAACAAAACGAAGAAACATTCAAGCAAATTTTCAACACGTTCATTTTTTTAGAGGATTTTTAATCATTAAAAGTTTAAATTTTCCATACAAGGTATGTTTTATAAATCAGGAAAGTAAACATGACCCCCCAAAATGCTGTTAACATGTATATGCATAGTGATAATGTTTTTAATTTCACATTATGTCGCGTAGAATAATCATATGGCAATCTCTGCAAAAGCACATTACGTTGAAATCCGTCGGTCCTATCAGTGTCTAAAATGAAAAGTTTGTGTGTCAAACGGCAGCAGCAGTTGGTGTATGTTTTAAGAGGTAACGGACCTTTGTTTGGACCATGTATGGTCGTTTCTGTCTGATGTTCGTCACGAAGTTGAAGACATCTACCAATCTAGTTGTCTTGGCGTGAGCTACGACGCTATCAATACTGATCACCACGCCTGTTCGCCCAACACCAGCACTGGGTAGAAAATATAATGATCAACTAATCAGTCATGTTATTGATTTTTTTTTTTAGTACAAGGTCGCATTCTCTCCGGATGTAACGATATGCCTTGACACTAGCTATTGAACGATAACACAAAAGTCAGCAAAATATTCACGCAATTTCAATTGAAATTAATGAGTGCGGGAACCAAGGTTTCGTTGCAGTAAAGCCCGATTATTATACGAACTTATTTTAGGAAGCTCTTTTTCGGCTAAGATAATTATTGAAATCTCTTATATTCTGATTATTTTAGTATTTCTTATAGCGAGCATATCGATAACACGTTGCGTAATCCGAACATGATCTCTAACATAAACACAAAAAAGTATCAAAAATATTTCTTGAAGGTCTTGACGATGATGTTTGTGGTACTTGTTTTGATCTAGGTGAAATTGACCAAGAAGCCTACCTGCAATGAATGATGAGAGGATGAGTGTACTGTCCATGATCAGCTTTGACTTCCTTGATGAACTTGAGCAGTGATGAGGTGTGTTTAGGAACACCCTTGTCAGGCCACTCTGTGAAGTGGAACTGAGTGACGGTCCTGTAGTCGTCACCCTGGTTAGGAGAGCAACACATGTCATGCACAGTGAAAATGAATTAATTTCAATGATACGTCAGCTTTTGTACCGATTATCAAAATATTTATCCGTTTTATTGTCAATAGTATCAATTTTTGTTAGTGTTTCCATGCACAGGATTTAGCTCAGAAAAAAAGCATGAATCATGTTAAAATAAACTTCATGAAATAGTAATTTAAAAAGTAACTTTTAAAAACTTCTATGAATGACTAAACTTGAAGTACCGTTTTCATAGATATTGTCCAAAGGGACGAATGGTTGTATCATATTAATTATAATAACTCGACTGGTTCATGGTCATGGAAGGCATCATGAATTACTTCCTGAAATGTGACGTAGCAATGCATATGCAGATGACTTATCTACCTACCTTTCTCAAAGTCATTTTCCTTTTAACTCCACCTGTGCAAGCTTCCAGTGACTCCAGTTCCACTTTGATATTTCCAAACTTCACCGAATCGCCTGGTACATTAGGCCAGTACTTACCGCATTTGATCTATTTTAAGCAAGCAAACATAAAATAATCAGATTAACTAAAAACCGTATGCTTTAATCTGGAGCAGAAATATTCTATGATTATTGTGTAATACTACTAATTTTAATAATCTGGATTTATTTAGAGATTGATATAAATACTGTCTCTGAGCGCTTCACACATATTATTAACCTGTTTATCAGATTAATTTGAGCACGATGTGCACCATCTCCACTCTTTGAGGGCATATGGCAATTACTAACAAAAAGGCTATCGACATCTCACCAGGTCTACATTTCTCTCCTGGATATGGATTGGCAAATGGAGAATAACGAGTTTCCAACTACATCAGTGCCGGTATCGGGGATCGAACGATCAACGACCTTTGTATTTCATGTCAAGTGCTTAAACTACTCCACTACGACTAAGCCATAGTATAATTTATTTAATCATCCGTCTTTCCTAGAACCCTACTTGTACTATCTGCATTGAGCAACACTTCTTTAAGCATAGAAAACGTCACTGACCTTATCTCCTTCCTTGAGCTTCGTTACCATGGCAATAGTCGTCACATTTTCCTGCCAGACCATCCTCCAGAAATCATCCATAGAGGCCTTGTTGGGTCCTTGAAAATATAATGAATTATGGCTCATCGGAAAATCAATGTTTCAATTGCCTTATGGGAATGACTAGTGTCTTGTTTGGATGTTCTTTTTGTGGTTTTATACAAGAATAAAATATTTACTTGAAAATTAATATAGTAACCTAAATTAATACGTCTTTCAATTTGTATTTATAAATTAATCCTTGTTAATCGTGACGGAAAATTAGAGTGGACATACCTTGTGATGCAATGTAAGCCTTGTCATTGTCAAAACTCTGTATGTGAAGAAAAGAAAAAAGAAAAGTGTACATAATGGAAAGTAGATCAAAATGATAAGTGAGGTGATGGCTACAGGGAGCAGACATGGTCTGGTTTTGTGATATAAAATCCACTTAATCTTGCACTTTTAACTGCAGATCGTGTATTTTATTTACCTGATTTTGCTTCTTGAACATATCTTCAAGCTTTTGATATGATTATTTTGTTCTTTGATACCTTCTGGAGGTAGAATATTGTGATAGTTTTACAGCCATTTTCTGCCAAGGAATTTGAACACACACCTGTAGTCCCATATGGAGGATCCTGAGTTTGCTTATTTTGCCCAGCCTTCTTCATACCTACACTACAGGCAACAATAACTGTAATGTATATTTTCTGACTGAATTATGCTTATATTATTCTTATGATATAGAAGCAATTACTCACTGGGATTTAAATCATTTACCAGATGATTTAGCTAACCGTCTACTACTACTAATAGCTAACCTACATAAAATGGGTGTAGCTGAGTGAGTGAGACTGCTGTGAGCTTTTCTGACTTCCCTTTGTTTGTTCTGAATACGTATTGAATATTGAATACTGTCCTGCCAAATTTAATCACCGGTATTCATCACCGTTCGACTTGCAAACACCATCATGAAGAATTACTTCTTACCACCCTCTTCTTCTAGATCACATCCACTCCTTCTAGCAATACTCTCAATAGTGTGTGCACTTAAACTATTGAAGAGTGGAAACCTGTACACGCAGATTGCAGACCATAGATCAGCTTCTTTACCCTTCTTCGATCTACACGCAACGCTTTGTGAACCAAGATCACTACACCAGCCTACTAGAAGGCGTACTTACACTGCAGATATTGATAACTGCAAACTGTTACTTTTTATATCATCCTGTAATAAGTGGAATCGAAATACAAAGCTTTGTCCACTTGACTTCAGGTCGACTTCTTTGAGCCACCTAACCATCCTACTTCTCCTCAGCGGACAAGTTGAAACCAACCCTGGTCCATCAACTAGTGCTCCTGAGACATTTCCATGTGCCATCTGTGGGGATGAAGTGAGAGACAACGACCCTGCTCTCTTATGCGATCACTGCGACTGCTGGTGCCACATCTCATGTGTCGGTATCTCCCCAGACTCCTATGATATCTTGACGAAGAAGTCCAGGAGCTTCGCTTGGGTGTGCTGCCAGTGTTCCTCTACCAACATAGGGTCAAGCAGCTCGCTGCAAGGTCTTAACCTCTCACAGACCAATCGTTTCTCACCCCTTCACCACGACTCCAGTAATGAAGAAATCCTTCCCTCCATCAACCCTCTAACCTCTACGCCTACATCGAGCCCTGGGGGACGTCGTCAACCACGATTTCACCCTCCATCAAGAAATCGCAAAAAGGCATTTAAAGTGATGGTTGTAAACTGCAATGGTCTTAAGGGGAATGCTAAAAAATCAAGCTTCCATGCAGCTATTGCTCACCACACTCCTGATTTTGTTTTTGGTTGTGAATCAAAACTGGATGACAGCTTATCATCATACTCAATCTTCCCAAGCAATTACTCAATCTACCGTAAGGACAGAAACATCCATGGAGGTGGTGTTTTCATAGCAATCATCGACACGCTAATTGTCACTGAATGTCCAGAGTTTGACTCAGACTGTGAGATACAGTGGTGCAACGTGCAACTTGCAAATGCCAAGCCACTGTATATTGGTAGCTACTACTGCCCCCCCAACAACAGACAACAAGGCCTTGAAGGCTTGCACCAGTCATTGTCCAAGATTATGACAAGGCACCGGCGCAGCCACCCTAATATCTTGATAGCCGGCGACTTTAATCACCCAGACATCAACTGGGATGACCAGTCGACTACAAATCCAGCCACTTCTACTTGTCACCAGAAGCTGTTGGATATCCTTTTGCACAACTCCTTGTCTCAAACAGTCAGGGAAGTCACCCGACCTTCATCCAACAACATCCTGGATCTAGTTGTGACGTCAAATCCCGCCCTGGTTGAGAATGTGTGCGTAAAGTCTGGGATATCAGACCACAACATCGTCACTTTTACTCTTGCTGCAAATCCAAAGATCTCTATCAAACCCCTGAGGAAGATCTACCAGTTCCACAAAGCTGACGAACAGCAACTGAGAGATGCAGCAGCCGAATTTGCGACGGAATTCCTCCAATCAGATCCAGAAAGAAGATCAGTGGAGACAAACTGGTCCATCATTGTCAACTTCTTAAACAGGTGTTTGTCTGAGCTTATTCCTTCCAAAATGAGCAAAGGAAGGAAACATCTTCCTTGGATTACTCCTCCTTTGAAACGCCAGATGAGGAAGAGAGATAGCCTATTCAAGAAGGCACACAGCCAGTCTTGCTCCACAGCTTGGACAGCCTACCGACAATTCAGGAACCAAGTTGCCAAGAATGTGCACAGAGCACGTTGTGAGTACGTCAACAACATCATCGGGGCAAGCCTTAAGGACAACCCAAAGTCTTTCTGGTCTTACATCAAGACATGTCGTTCTGAAAACATTGGTATTCCTACCTTGCGTACTCCATCTAAACTATGCGCCTCAGCATTGGACAAGGCAGAGACACTGAACGGCTACTTCCAGTCTGTCTTTACTCCTCACCAGCTCCAACCTCTTGTACAGAAAGGACCTTCTCCTTTTCCAACTATTGGTCACCTGCATGTTCACAGGACTGGTGTCGAGAAACGCCTCCAACAACTGGACCCTTCAAAGGCCAGCGGACCTGATGAACTCCCACCCAAGCTCCTAAAGTTGGTAGCTCGCGAGATTGCTTCTCCACTGTCCTTCCTGTTTCAACAAAGCTACAACAGTGGCATCGTTCCAGCCCAATGGAAACAGGCACTGGTTACCCCTATTCACAAGTCGGGAGAAAAGTGTGACCCCTCCAACTACAGACCGATCTCACTTACCTGCGTTTGCTGCAAAGTCATGGAACATATCATCCTGAGCCATGTGTCGAAGCATGTTGCAGTGAATAATATCCTCACTGATGCACAGCATGGCTTCCGACGAGGGTTGTCAACAACCACTCAATTGACAACAGCCGTCCACGACTGGTCCTCCATCCTACAGCAGCGTAGCCAAGCTGATATAATCTTCTTGGACTTCAAGAAGGCATTTGATCGAGTACCACACCTTCTCCTGTCAACCAAACTTCAGTACTATGGAATAAGTGGTGACTCACTCCAGTGGATAATGTCTCTCCTCACTGATAGACAACAGGCAGTCGTAGTTGATGGATCCAAATCAACATGGAGGGATGTAACATCTGGAGTCCCCCAGGGATCCGTCATCGGCCCTACCCTCTTCCTGTTGTATATCAACGATATCCAAGACAACATCCAGTCCACAATGCGTCTCTTCGCAGATGACAGCACCCTCTATCGTGAGATTCGATGCCCTGAGGACCATCAAATCCTAAAGGACGATCTCCAACAGCTGTCCAGGTGGTCTTCAAACTGGATGATGGACTTCAACGTGAAAAAGTGCGCTATCCTCACCATCACACGGAAGCGTACTCCCAGCATCCGAGAATACCACCTGTCAAATGGACTGATTCCGAGAGTGAAAGAGTACAAGTACCTTGGAGTAACGGTTGCTGCTGATCTCCGTTGGAACAAGCACTGCCAAACCATCCGGCATAAAGCAAGCCGTACTCTAGGTCTTCTTCGCAGGACTCTCTCACCCTGTACCAGGGATGTAAAGTCCAGGGCCTACACAGCCTTAGTGCGCCCCCAATTGGAGTATGCCTCGGAGGCCTGGAACCCACACAGCGTCACGGTCACAAAAATGCTAGAGCAAGTACAAAGAACAGCGGCTCGCTTTGTGTACCGTGACTACAGATACACTCAACGTTCCCTCTCAACGACACAACTCATTCCATGCAGCTCAGGACCAGCCGAACGTACAAATCTATCAATGCCAGGACAAAAAGATATCAGAATAGCTCCATTCCATTTCTGACAACTTGCCTAAATGAATAATGCCAAGGTTGTATAAAAGGGGTGAATAGAGAACAATGTACGCCTAACTCTTTTTGACGAAACCGGTGTCACTATTTATTTAATTATTATTATCGATATATATTTTGAAATCAGAACATATTTCTCATATAATTATATTTCCAGGGGCATAATTGATTACCGAAGCATGAACATGGGTATTACGCATAGCATTACAGGTATCAACAAGGTTATTTTTTGTTCAATTAAGCACTCAAATACCTTATCAATGACTTATTTACCCAATCTCTACTGAATGATGCAAAACCAAATTAGATAATATTATTAATGCAAAATTGTTGTTGTATATATATATACATTGAATTATTCTTAATGCTAATATTGTGAATTGTCACTAGAAAGTGATCTAACTATTGATGACAATTCATTGTCTTTGTTAATTATATGGTATTTTAACTAGTAGTATATTTGAAACAATTGTGAAAGAAATATGATATGTTTTTAATTGTAAATTGTCATGCAATTCAGCCCAGGCTGCGAAATGATGATATTAATAAACTGAACTGAACTGAACATCACCATCAGCTCTTGTGGCAGCTCTAGGGTGGGACACGCTTCACACACGTCGAATCCTCGACCAATGCACCCTTCTCTACAAGATCCATCACCGACTTGTCCCCATACCTGCACCAACTATTGTTATCCCTGCTACATACTTCGGAAGACATGACCACAACCTGAAGTATGTAATTCCTGTTGCAACTATCGACTCTTTCAAGTTCTCATACTACCCAAGAGCAATAAGGATCTGGAACAATCTGCCAGGCTCAGCAGTCAATGCAACAGGAATAACCAACTTCAAGGAGGCTGCTCTACCCTCCATCAGAATGATGCAGCCCCCCGTTGGTTCTCACATCATATAAGCTTACTAGCTTGGTTTTTACTTGCACTGGACTTAGCATATTTTACTGTAAATTGACAAGTGCTTTGTCCACACACCATTCCAGCAATTCATGACACTCCTTGTAGTCACTTGCCTCACCTACCATCCCAGTATAGCTTCCTGAGTGAGCTGCCAAAGGGATTACCCAACCAAGTACCAAGTATACATACGTCAAAGCTTGAGGAAAATGATAGTCTCTATTTTACAGCATTGCTTTTTCGTAGACAACTTTGTTCTTCTTTTTAATCGAACATAAAAGAAGATCAAGAAAATTCAAGTCATATGAGGAATTATTTTGCAGCTTCAACCGATAGTGGGATTCCGATTACATGTGTACATGAGTACGTGTGTGTGGGTGCGGCTGTGTGTGTGTGCGTGTGTGTATGCGTGTGGAAGTTTTTAGGTGTATATGCGTGCGCGCGCGTGTGTAGTGAGGTGTGTGTGTGTGTGCGTGTGTGTGTGTGTGTGTGCGTTTTGGATTGTGTAAAGATCCAGCGCAGAAAACGTGAATTCTACTTCATGTACTTGTAGTCCATCAACTCAAGCTACATCCTACATTATTGTATTGGGTGCAGGCGCGTACACAGGGGGTGTTTGGGGGGTTAAACCCCCCTGGTATTTTTATATGTGTAAACCCCCCCCCCCCTTTTTTTTTTTTTTTTTTTTAATTATTAAAAAAAAAAATATATATATATTTCCATGGCTGACCTAAAAAGGAGACCTTACCCCCACCCCCAGTGGAGCGAAATGTCAAATTTTCAAATTTCGAGGACCCCCCCCCCCCGCTTATTCAACGGTCGGCTGTATCGTTGTGAAATAATTTTCGCCCCAATTTATAAATGTTAAAACACCCCCCTTGAAAAAATCCTGCGTACGCGCCTGATTGGGTGTTTACTTTATCACGTTTTTGATTCATATCATTCCTTTTGGACGCTTCATTCAACGACAACCCACTCTATAACATTAAAATGAAAGTACATTGTAATGAAAATGTATTAATAAATTAATATATAGATAAATTGATACATGACACCTTACTTACGGGAATGTAAGTAGCGTTAAAGTAGTCGGAATGAGGATTATTGTTGATGACTTCTAACTTCACCCTCGCCGAATCATCTGGATGAAAGATAGGATATAAACAAAATCAAGTAAGCCAGTAGCTTACTATGTCCCATTTGCAGGTCAAACAATGAAAAGGTTAAATTACAACGGCATTTGAAAGACTATGGGTGGTATTCTCATAAGTTAAGCCGGGACTAAGTCTAGACTAAACAAGAATTTTAGTTCACACTTCTATGGAATGCTAGGTTTTATCTTCCTCCTTCAATATTCATGACAAAGATAATCTACCAAAGACTTTGTTGAAATTCAGTTCATACTCATATTATCTTTTTCTTCCCATTTCATTGCAAAATTATTTTTTTGGACTCTTTTCATTGAAGGATTAAAATAATATGTACAGGGTAAATTTGTTTGCAACAGGCACTCCATAAAAGTGTGAACTAACTAAGTACGCGCTAACTTAGTATGCGCTACCGGAATACCACCCTATGGCTTTTTGTGGGAAATAACGATCATGAGTTGTCGAATCGACATGAGTGATGGCAATCTCCTAAATAATAGTCTGATTTTCAGACCATTGTACCGAATGTTCGTACGTTTTGTGCTGCACAAAGATTCAATCAGTTTAACTTTGGCCATTTCAAGTAGTGGGTTATTGATGTAGACAAATGCTCATGTACCTGCCCGCCCCCCCCCCCCCCCCACTCAGTGTCATTTAGGGTACCCATATACGTGTTCCCTCCTTTTGAAAACAAGTCCGGTGTGTAAAGTCAATTTTGTGTATGTACGAGCCAGATTTTGGTGCGCGAAAAGTACCCCTGTTTACCGGACATTTTGGTGACACGCATGCGGTCAATTCGACCCCGGAGTGGGGGGGGGGGGGGGGGGGGGGGGCGGGTGTACCTGTTACAGCTCATTTTATGTATGTTATTGCTAAAGAATAAAACCTTTCAGACAGTCACTCAATAGTGTCTGACAGGAAAGTCTTAAAAAGAAATGGGTTTCTCTTCATAATTTGAATACTAGGACACTGCTAGCGGTCAAATTTCACAGATAGGACATACATGACATATTCATAATTCCTGCAAAGTTCTACACAATTTGATGTTGGCTGCAAAAGGGACCTTTCGATGTTTAGTCATTTTTGCTATTTTTCTTATTAAGCAGTCCATAGCAAATTAAAATAAACATTAAAAAAACCAAAAGCTCTATTAAGGTTTCAAATGCCGAGATTTGTCAATACGAACAAATCTTTTTGTATTGAGAGTGTAATTAAACTTGCAACATATCTTTACAGAAACTTTACTAAAAACTCATATTCTCAATAAAGAATTATGACATGGAACTGAAAGCATACAGCAGAACATACATTGATACACTGGAGCTTCATTGATGCAAACTTTTATAGCTCTCCCTGACAAGTCAACATAATAAAGGCCATGTGATTTTGTGTACTCACATGGTAAAATATTCTTGTATCTGTTTTTCGTGAAGTTGATCTCCTCTCGAGCCACGGTCTGAGGATAGATGTCTGGGCCAGGCAAATCCTAGAAGAGAAAAGAAATATAATTTCAGTTTAAGTTTTATATTGATTTACATTTCGCATATAAAAATATCAGAAAACATTACAAGCAAAGATAAAGTGTAGTAGCCGAGACTAGAGGCTTAAGAAGAAGACATATTTCTTGTTAACAGAAATTATCTTCATTAAACCTACATGAAATTCCTCGGAGAAGAGCGCAGTGTGTCTGTTCTTGTTGACAAACGCAGGGAACTGAGCCAGGGGTATCGGTTGACGTGTGCCAAGAGGTTTGTTGCTAGACCTGTCAGGAGATCCATCGGTTGAATCGAGGTCTAAGGACTTAGTTTGCCGTACAAAGGGCTTGACGGCTACATGTGGTTTAGGTCTCGTGCTCCTTGAAGGTGTTTGGTCTCGGTTCGAAACGGAGGCGTGCCCACTGTAGTTATTTCCTGACACAATACATACAGAAATACATTTTTTTTAAAAGCTTATCTGCCGTAGTTTACAGGAGGGATTAGACCGCTCTGCAAGGTCACTGGACAGGTGGTTATCTCATCAACTCAGCTCTCAGTTAACATAAGACAAAGAGGATCATGGGGGACCATTGGTCACCGATTAGGCATTGTTTGATATATAGAGGGCGCAAGTAGGTACCAGTAGTGCAGTGGACCTTTAAGTCAAACTGAATTTCACCCCCTTTTTGGAGGAGGAAAAGTTCTAGCGTGGCAAAACGCAGAATCAGCCTATACTGCAAATAACCAAAGAAGTCCTTAGTTCCTTACACTTGAAACTTTTTTTAATTTCTTCCAAAAACTTGTCTTGTTCGTGACATTATGAATCAGGGAAGGGCATAATTAAGTTGTAAGAATTCTATGGGGTTAGAAAAATTAGAATATGATGTCTCTTTGTTGCCATTAGCACGTCGTTTCATGCTATTTTCAGGATTATAGTTTTTTCTTTACCTGATCATATTAACAACTATCAAAACATAGGCCTACCTTCTAATGGCGTGTCTTGGAAATCCACTGGTGCCTGAAATTGGTCCTCGATGTTTTCTTTTTTAGACGGATTACTATCATTCCTTTGGAAAAAAAAGAGAACCAAAAAACAAAGGTTTCAATGCAAAAGACGAAAAGCGAAGAATAAGTGAGCAGAAGAGAAATTTACGAGAGCTGGTAACTATCAAACTTAAAGAAAAATTTCATCGGTAGAGTATTCCTTGAAGAAAGGAATAGAGAATTATCAGAATGTAGATAGCCATTTATTTTCAAATTTCCCTATTCTGCTTGTTCTTAAAGTCTGTACATAAAAAAAGTCCATTTGCATCGAGAGTATGGTATACAGGGGATTACTGTATAATTACTATAGAAGTATTAAAGTGACAGCATTGTACATGAACATTATAATCATGACTGAAAATAGAAAATAGTTCACAAACCTTCGTCGTTTGAACACGATGATGACTACAATGATGATAATCAAAATGATCAGAATGGCGCCAACGGCTCCACCTGCTGCCGGTGCTATAGGACCAACAGGACCTTTATTTGGGATCAAACGAAAGAGAAGAATGAAATCAGAAATCTTTATTTTCCCCAAGAAAATTCAATTGTTGAAATATGTTTTTGTTACAACCCCTGTATTGAAACAATCCATTCTGCCATCGATAACAAATAAAATATGTGTTTGATTGATCGCAACTTCGAAAATTAATAACTTTCCTATTTTTAATCGAAATTTGATCAAATTTTCACTGACCCGTCCCTCTCATCTTTCTGCTTCCATAAAAACCAACTTAATACCAGGGTTACAGTTTGATTACACGTCTAATATTGTTTTCAACAGCAGCGCTGCTAAGTTTGAGGAAATCGCATAAAACGGTCGCGATTGTATTTCAGTTTTGACGCTTGAAATGAATATTATGAAAAGATGAGAGAAACTTAAACCCCACCAGAAGATCCCGTGGTGCGTCAAGCTGGACAGTAAAATTATATTTGCAAAATGTGTGCATGTTCCGTTGATTTTGTTCCATTTATTCATAGAGAGCATTTTCATCTGTAAGGGTGCGGCCAAGGGTAGATGTCAGTAGAATAGTTGTTGCAGTGTTATGAATATACAGCGCGTCCCAGAAAAAAACGAAGCCGAGAATTATTGATGTTTTATCATAACTTAATCACAGTTATGATTAATAAATGACACATAATTGTTTAGCTCAGATCCTCTTCTTTCATTTGATGCAACTCATATAATGCATATTTCACGCATGAGTGATTTAAATCAATTTGAAGAGAAGGAACCAAAAATTCATTTGGTGGACGGTATCTGAATTTTAAAGAGGAAATCACATTTCTAGAAAGTTCAGTTTCTGCCCTTTCATATGACCAAGAAGTGATATGACACACTTCAATCAGGAAAAATGAGCAACGAATAACAAAGTTATCAGCCTGAAACGTCTGAACATTGCAATGAAGCATTGGTATAATACGATCACCTTTTCTATGGGATATGCCAATGGTTTTGAAATGGACCTGAGTTGATTTTGCAATGGTGTTGAAGATACTGGAATGGGTTCACTCTAATGTTCAAAGCAAGCCTTAGAATATCATATGCGTTATATTACTATCACTGCTACATACACATGTATGAACACAACATTAATCAGCATTATACTGCTCTTACCTGCTTGTATCGTCTCAGCAGTCACAGGTTCTGACCAATTACTAGAACCAGCTCCATTAACAGTCTGTACCTATATAAGAAATGTTGATATCATACCAAAAATAATTCTATACTTTTGACCATTTTCTAGAAATGTTATCATCCACGTAAGCGCAAATCTCAGGTTACTTATCCGAAAGGAACTTGCTCTGTTCATGTTCTGTTAATACTGTAACTCTTTTAAAACACCGGACCTGTTTGCCCTTTCAAGTTGCATGTAAAACGACACAATTCATATAATATATTATATTAATATAATATTCTATTCATATAGAGGTATACCCAATCATATTCTTTTACTACACTACCAAGTAGTCCATAGCAATTTTTATTCCTGCGGTTTTGACCAATCACAGGCCTAGAATCTTTATGTGGTATATAAATACCTATCAATACATATAGATGTATTACCTGAACTGAGTAGTTTGTTTTTGCTGTCAGGTCTACCACTGTATGCTCTCCTTCAAACGCACCAGTCAATACTTCCTCTGACTTATAGTCACCATCAACAACGGGGTCAGTTTGCTGGTAGCGGATGATATATTTCTGGATGTTACCATTGATGTTAGATGGTAGAGGAGTAGACCAGGATAGAGTGAAGGAGCTTGTAGTACTCTGCAGTATAGCCACATTGATAGGACTAGGTGCAACTGTGAAGGGAAAGCAGGAAGGTCTAAATTAAAAATGTATAGTTTTGTATGACAGGGTGTAAATGTGCATGGATCGCAAGTTCTTTCTTCTTCTTCTTCTTCTTCTTCTTCTTCTTCTCCTCCTCCTCCTCCTCCTCCTCCTTCAGGTTGTTATAATATCGTGATTACATGCTATTTTTTATATACATGTATGACCCTTTGATCTTTGACCTACTTACTTACTGCCCATTATGCCTCCTGACACATAGGGCAGCAACAAAATACAAAAGTATTCCACTTCTTCTGATCCTGGGCCAGTATTTAGATGGTTCCCATTGTGTGATTCAGGCTTTTCAATCTCCCCTTCAAAAGTTCTTTGCTAAGTGATTTTAGGACGTCCCTCTTTCGTTTGCCTTCTGGTGTCCAGTTGAGGGATAATCGTGTGATGTCATCTATGTTCTTTCTCATTTATGTCCGATCCATCTCCACCTTTTTCTCATGATGATGTTCTCCATGCTGTATTGATTCATTGGGCATACAGTGCTTCGTTTGAAATTGTGTTTGGCCAGAAAATGCGACATATTCTTCTCAGACTCTTTGTGTGGAAGACCGACAGCTTATTGACTTTGTTTTTCGTCATCCTCCAACATTCAGAGCCGTCAAGGGTGTCGATTTGTATCCGTGGTTGGGAGGGGGGGGGGGGGATGATAGGTGCCAAAATATTTTCGGCAATGGATCAAAGAAACCAAGAGGTAGAAGCGTGTGGCAGGTTGCACCCCATCCCCAAGCGCGTAGCACGCTCCGTAGGGGTTTGAGTGCAGGGAGGGAGGAGTTTCCCCTCCCCCGAGAAGCGCGGAAGCTTTGACGTTTCATTAAATTATTAGAGAAAGAAGACGATTCGTTGGAACGTTCTCGACTCTTAAGCCTTGTTTGAATCAAGTGCCCCTTCCTCCGCGCGTAGCGCGGAAGCTCTGACGTTTCATTAGATTATTAAAGAAAGAAGACGATTCGATGTACCATTCTCGACTCTAATCCTTAATGTTTGAACTAAGTTCCCTTCCTCCGCGCGTAGCGCGGAAGCTCTGACGTTTCATAAGATTATTAAAGAAAGAAGACGATTCGATGTACCATTTTCTTGTCTGAATTCAGTTCCCCCCCTCCCGTGCAAAGCGCGGAAGCTTTGACGTTTCATTAAATTATTAGAGAAAGCAGACGATTCGTTGGAACGTTCTCGACCCTAAATCCTTGTTTGAATCAAGTTCCCCTTCCTCCGCGCGTAGCGCGGAAGCTCTGACATTTCATTAGATTATTAAAGAAAGAAGACGATTCGATGTACCATTCTCGACTCTTAATCCTTAATGTTTGAACCAAGTTCCCCTTCCTCCGCGCATAGCGCGGAAGCTCTGACGTTTCATTAGATTATCAAAGAAAGAAGACGATGCGATGTACCATTCTCGACTCTTAATCCTTAGTGTTTAAATCAAGTTCCCCTTCCTCCGCGCGTAGCGCGGAAGCTCTGACGTTTCATTAGATTATTAGAGAAAGAAGACGATTCGTTGTATCGTGTACTTGTCTGAATTCAGTTACCCCCCCCCCCCTACCCGTGCGAAGCGCGGAGGCCTTGACGGTTCAATAAATTATTACTCTTAATTCTTGTCTATATTCATTTTCGCCCATCCCGCGCGAAGCGCGGAAGCTCTCACGTTTCATTAAATTATTAGAGAAAGAAGACGATTCGTTGTATCGTGTCCTTGTCTGAGTGCAACCCCCCCCCCCCTCCGGCCCTCCCGCGCGAAGCACGGAGGCTTTGACGTTTCATTTAATTATTACTCGTAATCCTTGTCTGAATTCATTTTCGCCCATTCCTGCGCGGAGCGCGGAAGCTTCCACATTTCATTACATTATTAGAGAAAGAAGACGGTTCGTTGCATCATGTCCTTGTCTTAATTCAGTTCCCCCTACCGTGCGAAGCGCGGAAGCTTTGACGGTTCAACAAATTATTACTCTTAATCCTTGTCTATATTCATTTTCGCCCATCCCGCGCGAAGCGCGGAAGCTTTCACGTTTCATTAAATTATTAGAGAAGGAAGACGATTCGTTGTATCGTGTTCAGTTTCCCCCCATATACGCTTGTCTCAGTTATTTCGTATAAATGTATATATCATGCAAATGAGATAGCAAAATGTGTATATTGATGGTCATCTTGCGAGTAATAACCCTTAACTACTCTCATCGGGCTCTTATCATTAATTTGTCTTTTTTTTATTTTTTTTTATGGTGAATTATTGGGGGGGGGGATGATTGTACAGGCCACCCCCCCACCTGAAATATTGGGGGGGGGGGGGATATATCCCCCCCCCATCCCCCTCGGGATCGACACCCATGAGAGCCGTACGAAAGAGTGGAAAGGACACAGCTCAAGTAAAATTTAAGCTTGGTCTTGGTGCTGAACTGCTGTGATCTCCATATATTATTGAGCATTCTGAATGCGTTCTTGGCTTTTTTAAGACAGTTCTTAATGTATTTGCCCGCGCCTCCATCGTGCCTGACAGTGCTGCACAGGTAAGTAAACTCCTTAGTTAAAGGTAGGTCTTCCCCGTTGTTTGCTTGTATTGATAAAGGGTTCGAGATGTTCAGATTCATCACCTCTGTTTTCACTTGGCTGATCTTTAAGCCAATTTGCTGGGCAAAATCACCGAGTCTGGATGCTTTTTCTTGCATATGCTGGTGGGTGTAAGTAGAGCGAAATCATCTGCAAAGTCGAGGACTTCAAGTGTAGAAAAGAGGGTCAGTCTTACGCCTCTTTTTTGGTCCTCGGTTGCCTGTCTCATCACCCAGTCTATGGCGATATTGAAGAGCAGTGCTGACATGACACATCCTTGCCTAACTCCAGTCTTCACTGGGAACTTATGGTTACTGTTTCCAACTCTGCATGTGAAATTGGTGTAAAAGCTCTAGCTGCTTTGGTATCCCGTATTTGCGTAGTATTCGCCAAAGGCTGTCTCGGTGGATGCTATTGAATGCTTTTTCAAAGTCAAGCAAATTAATATAAAGTTTCCTCTGCCATCCTGTGCGTTGCTCTATGATATTACGTAGTGCAAATATCTGGTCAGTGCACCCTTTTCCCTTCCGAAAACCTGCCTGTTCCCTTCTGAGACTTTGGTCAACAGCATCTATGATACGGGTCATAATTATCTTTGCCAATATTTTGCTTGGTATTGACACCAGTGTGATGCCACGCCAGTTATTGCACTTATTTACGGATCCCTTCTATGATAATTTTACAATAACTCCCTCTTACTAATCGCCATGAACTGCCTTCCTTTCCCATATAGCTGTGAAGAGTGGCAGAAGGATTTTTCCTGCTAATTTTGAGTCCGCCTTAAAAACTTTTATCTCATGACCCTACCATCTACTCAGTTCA